ATTTATTTCTAGCCGAAGTTTTACTAAGGAAAGCAAATCATGAGGATGGAAGGCTGCTGACACTAAATAATCTTGGAAATCGGAGGGAACAGTTGTAAGAAAACTGATTACTACTTAAGAATGATGAACATAAATCCTTCCAAACTCTCAAGGCCAGCTGTAGGCATCAGCAAATTTTTCTGCCAAAGGCAGTGCCGCCTCCATTTAAAGAAGCCCTGAAACAAACAATCACACACACACACACACACACACACACACACACACACACACACTTTCTTTGCCACAGTTTGATCTCTGTGTTCGCTGTTAAAGATGAGCAGTTCTAGGGTTCATTTGGGAGGTCCACATCAGTAAGGACCCATCCAATCAACTAGTGACTCAGCCCAAGTACCATTAGGCAGATGCTGTGGTTGGCAGTGGCAGTCCCATCACCACCATTCACCATTCAACCAGAGCCCGAGTTGACCAGGCCACCAAAGGCCCATCTAGTCCAGCAGCTTGTTCTCATGGTGGCCAACCAGGTGGCCTTCAGGAAGCCCACAAGCAGGACCTGAGTGCAACTGCAACAGCAAACACAGGAATGTAGGAGGTTGACCATTAGTCTATCTAGCTCAGTATTTTCTGCACTGACTAGTAGTGGCCCTCCACAGAGGGGAAATTCCCAGCTCTACCTAGAGATGCCAGGGATTGAACCTGGGAAGTTCTGCATGCCAAAGGGATGTTCTCCCACTGAGCTATCGCCTTCCAGAACTGTCATACACCTCCTATGCCAGCTTGCTGGCTTCAGCTGTGGTAGATGCTGTTGTGTTGAATCAAGTTTAAATTGGCTGTCCAGCTGGCTTTTGAACAGAAAATAGAATACAGTAGTACCACAGGTTAAGAACCTAATTCATTCTAGGGGTCCGTTCTTAACCTGAAACTGTTCTTAACCTGAGGTACCACTTTAGCTAATGGGGCCTCCCGCTGCCGCCGCACGATTTCTGTTCTCATCCTGAAGCAAAGTTCTTAACCCGAGGTACTATTTCTGGGTTAGCGGAGTCTGTAACCTGAAGCGCCTGTAACCCGAGGTACCACTGTATTGTTCTATCCGCTCCATCATGTGTGTGCATCTATCCATTCATCGATCTAGTCTCAGCTCCACCAGGACTCCTATCTCTCAGCTGTCACTTGGCAGGAGCCAATGTAGCATAATGGTTAGAGTGTTGGACTAGGATCTTGGAAACCAGGGTTCGATTCCCCCACTCAGCCAATAAACCTCACTCGGTCACCTTGGGCCAGCTGCTATCTCTTAGGTCAGGGGTGCCAACTTGAATAAAATATTGTGGGGGCCCAGGTAAGCCCTGCCTTGCATAATCAATCACATAACGCGGTGTGTGTGTGTCGACTTTGTGGAGGCCCGGTGGCCTCAAATGTTTTATTGTGGGGGCCAAAGCCCCCATGGGCCCTGAGAGCTGGCTCCTATGTCTTAGCTTAACCTACTTCATAGGGTTGTTGAGAGGATGAAATAGAGAAGAGGGGAACCTTGAGCTCCTTGAAAGAAAAAGACGGTACTGTGGTACCTCGGGTTACAGACACTTCAGGTTACAGACTCCGCTAACCCAGAAATAGTACCTCGGGTTAAGAACTTTGCTTCAGGATGAGAACAGAAATTGTGTGGTGGCGGCAGCAGGAGGCCCCATTAGCTAAAGTGGTACCTCAGGTTAAGAACAGTTTCAGGTTAAGAACAGACCTCCGTAATGAATTAAGTTCTTAACCCAAGGTACCACTGTATATAAATGTAATAAATAAATAAAATTCTGCAAGTCTGCCTCAGTGGGAGAGTTGGGAAGCCAGGTTCATCGCATCAGGTTTGCTAAAAGACCAGCCCCAACAAGCACCTGTTACCCCTGGACTGTCTCTATGCCGTTTGCAACAGAGAAGGAAGAGGAAAACAGTAAAATCAGGCACCAGTTCTTAAGCAGAAATGATGCGTGAGTTTACTCCCCTCCCCTTTATTCTCTCTGTCCCTTTTCCCTAATGTGTTGTTATTTTAGATTGCAAGCCCACTATGGGCCGTCTTGTTTTAATTGATGGAATGTAAGCCGCTCTGGGAGATTTTTTGACAGAAGAGCAGGGCATAAATTCTCTTAAGTAAAAATAAAAAATAAAAAAAAATCATGGAAATGCCATTGAAGAGAAATAGATTCATAAACTGCCCCCAATCCCTGAATCACTTTGTTTTGAAGATTCATTTTGCTGTTTTGTCAGCATGTTTAGTCGGGAGTAAGTTCCATTGAACTCAATGGGGTTTCAGGTTATTTGTTTTTTGGAACATCTAACCTTGTTTTAGTATGTTACAGCTCCAGTGTGGTGTACAGTAGGGGTTCAAGTCAAATTCAATTCAGCACTCATCTAAAGGCAAAGCTATCAAGTTTGTACTTTCTGAAACTGTACGTGAACCATCTTTTGGACAGTCATCCTTTGAAACTTGCATTTATCCAACTTTTGCAACGCAGTTCTCCAGTCAAGTAACGTGTGCAGAAATGTATGCTAAAGTAGAGTGTGCATATATAAATGCATGTGTTAGTGAAAATAGAATATAGAAGTGTACCATATCGTGAAAAATATAAACATATGGGGAAATACTGTATGCTTTGGGAAAACGTGTATATTCGAGAAAAGTGCATACAAAAATGTGTGTATCAGAAGAAGTTCACACTAAAATGCCAGTGTGTTCTCATGAGGACATTACTTCATTGAGACTGCAATCTTATACTCACTAATCTGGGAATAAGTACATAATAAGCATAAGATGACATCACAATGTTCTGTTAAGATGGCCCTTTCTTTACAGTTATGGGCACATCTCAAGGGGCTAGTTAATGCTCCTTGGTTCAGTCTAGGCTGTCTGTGCAGGTCTACTCAGAAATAGTCCCAATTCCCCACTGAATGCAATGGGACGTACTCTGAAGTAAGTGTGTCTAGAACTGCAGCTTGAGTTAAGGCACGTTTTATTCCCATTGAAATCAATGCAACAAGTTAGCTCACATGGAAGAACTTCCAGATTGCACAACAGCAGAAAGGATTGCCTTGGAAAGTGGTGTGTTATCCTTCACTACACGTTTCTATGGGCTTGTTCACACATTACACTCAACATAGATATGAGGCTGCCGCCAGATGTTTGTATGAAAAAATGGTATGTACAGGTCAACTATTGTATACATGGGTGTGTGGACTGTATGCTAGTTGGATACGATGTGTGAACGACCAGATGGCCACGTTTTGGGGATGTTGTAGCATTGGTTTCCCTGCATCAGTGGGGGGTGGGGGGAATGGACCAAATGCCCTTTGAAGTTCCCTTTCCATCTCTATGAATCTGTGGTTTCATTGGGACTACTAAAGTGTGATGACTTTAGCTCCAACCAAAATTAATAACTGTTTGTCCAAAATTGGAAGGGGGAAGGAGAAACAGGCAGGACTGACTCCCCTCCCCTCAGTGGTTGGCAACCACTATCAGAATACAGTGGTACCTCGGGTTACATACGCTTCAGGTTACATACGCTTCAGGTTACAGACTCTGCTAACCCAGAAATTGTACCTAGGGTTAAGAACTTTGCTTCAGGATGAGAACAGAAATCATGCTCTGGCGGTGTGGCAGCAGTGGGAGGCCCCATTAGCTAAAGTGGTGCTTCAGGTTAAGAACAGTTTCAGGTTAAGAACGGACCTCCGAAACGAATTAAGTACTTAGCCTGAGGTACCACCGTACAATGCTCCAACAGCCCCCAGAAGACTAGTGTTTCTGCTAATTTTCCTGGATTCTAATACAAGGCTATATTGCGTGCGACTGCATTTCAACAGGTTCAAGTTATTTAAAAAGTTTCCTGTACTTGGGGATCATATAACTAACCCCTTTTCTTGCCATTAACCCATAAATCATCTCCTTGCATAACCATCAAACAAGAAAATGTCAAGGGTTTTTGTGTGTGTACACGGAGGTGTTTTGTTTTGTGTTGTTTTCTTTTAACAGATAAGCACTGTACTTAGGGAAGAAGGAGAAGCTGGTTTGGCTAGAGAGAGGCTGCTGTGAATTTTTAAAAGCATTATGAAATTGACAGGGTGGTGGTAGGGAAGTGGATGGAATTGTGCTAGCTTTGCCAATTTCTTTAATTAAAATAACCTTCATTCAACTTTGTTTTCTGCATTCAACCTGTGTTGTTAATTTCTAATGGGTTAGAGAAGCAAAGACTTGGGGGAAGGAGGGCTGTTTCAGTGTCATTTGCTGCCCCCTACTGGACATAGGTGGGCAAGAAGACGAAGAATTCTTTTTCCAGTCTGCATGGTTAAAAAAAATCACACACGTGCAAAGAAAGTAGTGTGAACAGAAAGACCTTGTTTTAATGACCAGTTGGCAGCTTCTACCACCTATAGAGCTGCGAGGCATTGTTTTTGAAAATATGGGTCTCCCACATTTTGGGGGAACTTAACTTGATCAGAAAAATGGCCATCAATAATAATTCCCACCCACTTAACTTTGTTGACCAGTGATTCCATTCCATAGCAAACATCCAGCCCCTCAGTACAGTGCCCATCAATCCAACATAATCATTCTGGAATGACCTAGGGCTGTACCCAGCAGTCTCTATCCTCCAGCACAAGTTCTCCTGTTTTAGCAGATGGGTGATTTGTATATTGCATGGCCAAGGAATCCAAGGCAATAGCTATGCTAGTGGGAACTCGGTGCATAGAAGAATTGCACATTCTGTTGCACAGCATAGCTACTGGTAACCTGCTTCTGTGTTCTCTTGTGCAACAACACCCCATTGCGCTGTGGCAAAACAATTTGCCAGAAGAACACATATACTGCTCAGTGACTTCGACTCAGTGCTACATTGGATCAGACAGCCTCTAATACCACATAGCCCATCTCTGCTTACCTAACAAAAATACCATTGATCATAGAACTGTAGAGGTGGAAGAGACCCCATGGGTCACCTAGTCCAACCTCCTGCAATGCAGGAATCTTTTGCCCTATGTGGGGCTCGAAACCCACAACCCTAAGGTTAAGAGTCTCATGCTCTTACCAACTGAGCTTTGCTGCACCTGGTGTTCTGTTCTTTCTATAGTCTTTTCATTGCTCTTTCCTTTGTGTGTTAACTATTTGTTTTCTTCATTTTCTTCGTTTTTAAATAATAAATAAATAAATAAAACTCCAAAAAAAGTGTTTGTACTTTAGAACGAGTGCTTGAGCATGCACAAAACATGTTTCTTCTGTGCAGGCTTTTTGTATGTGAAAAGAAAACAAATTAAATATGATGTGGCTGTAACTAAATTCTACTCAGAGTCAACCCACTGAAATTGACAGACCTAAGATGTTTCTTAATTTTGGTGGATCTACTCTGAGTTGAACTAAAAACGGGTACAACTCCAAATGTTGTTGAATGTGTGCAGAATCTTTTTTTATATACTTCTGATAGAAAACAACTACAAATGATGTGCAGCCAGAAAGCCTTTGAGTATTTGGATAGTATTTTCCTTTTTGAAGAGCACCATCTCACCAAGCTATAGTTCCCAGCACTCCCAACTACAGTTCCCAGGATTCTTTGGGGGAAAGCCTTGTGCTTTAAAAATCACTTAGATGTATAGTATGGATGCTGTCTTGATCAAATCATGCTGTGGAGTTCAGGCACCCAAAAGCTTTAAAAGTGTGTACTGATGAATAAAATATTCAAGTAGAACCAGAGGGAAATTTCTCTCCCCTGTTCCTCCGTCACTAAATCTGCATATCTTTGTATACATGAATATTTGCCTATTTGGGTTTTGTCTTTATTTATTCTCCTTTCCTCCACATTGATTCCTTAATTTTCTCGAGTGCAAACATGGATCTGTTTGTGTTTGTTTTCCTCCACATAATCATATGGAAAAGGTGCAATCCATCACACACAAGCCTGTGCTCTTACTACAGCCAACAAGCACAATATTTGCATTTTTACTTAATGCATCTGTTAAGGAATTTGCTGTATTTAAAAAAATCTCAGTGTTGGCAGTTAATTAATCTATTAAGGAATCCATCTCTATTTAAAACAACAACTCAGTGCTATTAGCATTTCAATATCTTTTAGTTTCTCATTTTTCCCCAGTTTTGAAGTTCAGTTCTCCACTTTTCCACATCAGTTTCATACTCTTTTAAAGTCCTTGTGAAAATTCACAAGCTGAGTCACATGAATTTCTCCTAATGTACACAATTTTGTATGCAACTTTTTCAAAGTATGCACATTTTTGGCAATCAATTTCCTCTGTCATAAAACACTTTTGTATGTTACTTGAATATATGCATTTTTATGTACACTTTACCCTGGTATGTACATTTTGTACACATTACTTAGTTGGAGAACAGGATTGCAAAATTCAGAGAGGTGCGAATGCCAAAGGATGTCTGTGTTTTGGTTTGCATATTGCTTCAGAAAGGGTGGGTTAGGTGGGTTCACCTTTAGACGCAAAGCGAATCAAGTTTCTCTCCATCTCTGGTTGGCAGTTCACTCAGTTTTTGCAGTTAAATATTTCATCCAAGTTTGGTCCTTTTTTTTTTTTTTAAGAGGAAAGAGTGAACTAATGTGAGGATTCCTCCAGATGACCTGCTTATTGAGCCTTCATCCTGAGTTGCTTGCATAAAGCTTATGTTTAGGTTAGACTATGTCCAGTTTTCAACAGCCATTTGTTCCGATTTGTTGTCAGGAAGGTTAAATGACAATGAACATTCATCCTGCATTCACCCTGATTTGCTTAGATGTTGATTATACATCTTTACATTAATCATTCATTCATCCTATATCTAACTACAAGAATGCAAGGTTTTGTTTGTGAATGGATTTGTTGCACGGGGTTACAAAGCACTTTAATTAATTGCAAAATATTGGCAGCCTGGAGGCATTAGATATTTTATAAATATCTTGCTCCAAAATGCCAGCCTGAAGCTAAGGAAGGATCTGAAATCATCTGTACCCAAATTTCTCCACAGGTTTTGGAATTTTGAATTAACAGGTCTTGTTTTCAAAGCAGGACCGATGCGCTAGGAATCCCATATTGTCATATTTTTATGGTATACTGTTGGTATGGCATGGTATGGTATGCATCCACATTGTCATTGTTCATGTGTGCGTCGATTTAAAAACCCCTCTTTATTTATATCCTTTGTTTTAAAAAATAGTTAAAATCACAACACAATAGAACCCCACATCAGAATAAATAGAGGCAACTAAAAAATAAAACAGCAGCAGAGTGGACCAAACCATTAAACCCTAAAAATGCCCAAGCAAACAATATAGATAAGAATGCCATCACAGTCTGCAATATGCTCAAACTGTCTTGCCCTGGTGAGCAACCTGGCCACCAATTTCTGCACCAGCCAAAGTTTCTGAACCATCTTGAGGCTGAGCATTCCATAGACAGGATGCTACCCTCTCCACTGCTGCTACCAGTGTGGAGAGCCAGTGTGATGTAGTGGTTAAGAGCAGTAGACTCGTAATCTGGTGAACCGGGTTCGTGTCTCCGCTCCTCCACATGCAGCTGCTGGGTGACCTTGGGCTAGTCACACTTCTCTGAAGTCTCTCAGCCCCATTCACCTCACAGAGTGTTTGTTGTGGGGGAGGGAGGGAAAGGAGAATGTTAGCCGCTTTGAGACTCCTTCGGGTAGTGATAAAGCAGGATATCAAATCCAAACTCTTCTTCTTCTACCTAATGCGCTTCATTCAATCATACACCGCATGGCATTGCAATTATTTTTGCATGGTTTTCTCCCCATGTGCAGGCAAACGTGTACATCTTGGAAAGGACTTCAGTGGCAGAGCTCAAGCTTTGAATGCAGGAAGTCCCAGGTTCACCCCACACCGCCACCCCCACAGCATCTCCAGGCAGGGCTAGAAGGGACTCTTATTTAAAACCTTGACAAGCTTCTGCAGACCATGGTAGCTGGTGCTGCTTAGGATGGCAGGAATAGAATGCAGGAAGGGCAACATAAACCTTCTCCCCCCAAAACCCCAAGCCATTTGATCAGCCAGTCGTTTTAATGATACCTCATATATTTTGGATGGCGTTTTATGTTTTATTGCTGTACTCCACCCTGATATTTCGGGATATGGTAGTATAGAAAACAATTTTGCAAATAAATAAATGGTAGTTGGGCAGCTGGAGCCACTACCATGAAAAGGAAACTAATTCTAGTTTCAAAAAGCATGGGGGAAATGCAGGGAATACTTCACAAAACAGTGCCCTAAAATACATACCTGGACTTGTTTCCATTAATGTTTGCAGGAGACTTTGTGGATATTTAAGTTTTAATTAGAAAAATCTTAATAATTAGTCATAAAGGAAACAGTTTATAAGAAGTAAATAAGGAGGCCAGATACAGAATAAAGGAAGTATTTTATTTGGTTGTTTGTATTGCATGTTATGGGACGTGGGTGGCGCTGTGGGTTAAACCACAGAGCCTAGGACTTGCCGATCAGAAGGTCAGTGGTTCAAATCCCTGCGACGGGGTGAGCTCCCGTTGCTCGGTCCCTGCTCCTGCCAACCTAGCAGTTTGAAAGCATGTCAAAGTGCAAGTAGATAAATAGGTACCACTCCAGCGGGAAGGTAAATGGCATTTCCGTGCGCTGCTCTGGTTTGCCAGAAGCAGCTTAGTCATGCTGGCCACATGACCCGGAAGCTGTACCCCGGCTCCCTCGGCCAATAAAGCGAGATGACCGCCGCAACCCCAGAGTTGGTCACGACTGGACCTAATGGTCAGGGGTCCCTTTACCTTTACCTTTATTGTATGGTATGCTCACTGTATGTTATGTTCACGTTTAATGAGGGTAGATTTGTGTATTGGGGGTGGGGGGTTTGTGTTATGTTGTAAATAAAATTCCAATAAAATTAAAAATAATAATGATGATGATGATGATGGAAACTAATTCTAGTTTTGTCCTCTCTGCTGAGCTCTGCAAGGGCAATGCTGGAGCTAAGGAGAAGGATTGTAAGAAAGAAGGTATACAGGTGGGCTGGGTAGCCGGCTGGGGGCAGACAGAGATTGGTGGGACTGTGCCCTGAACTGAGTCTGGGGGCTTTTGCATGTAAGGCACTGTTCTGCTACTGCAGATCTTCCCTTAAGTCCCAGTGAACACCATGGAACTTGCACTTTGTGCAAAGGTGTGTGTGTGTTTAAGCTTGCTTAGGAGCAAGGCTGCAAGATCCCGAAATGCTTTTTCTTTTTATTCATTGAATGAAAAAAGCCTGTAGGGCTGTGGGCTTTCAAGCCTCAACACTTCCTCCACGGATGCTTGCGCCTACATACCACTGCTAGTTGTTAAATAGCTGAACCCAACAGATCTACGGGTGTTTTATTTATATTGTGTATTGCCTGCCTATAGGCTGCACTTTATCACACTGACGGCTCGATCTATCACCCTCCACCTGGAGCTATAACAGGAGCGTGCTCGGATCAACAAGTCCTTGCTTCAGAGTAACTGAACTGTAAATTGTCCTTGACCAGGCAGATAAACAAAAAACAACCTTCCTTGTTAATCTGCCCGAGACCAACAGCTGACTGTCTTTCATCCACCAAGGAAGGATGGGGGTGGCAATAGGGTTTAATACGTCTCATCCTTCACACAACACCGCTCTCCTCAAGTTCCAAAGCTTCTTCACATGACCATCTGGATACATGATAGGTGGCTTCAATGAGAGGACGGGGGATGACTCATGTCCATTTTGTCTTCCCAGCTGCTTCCACCTTTGGCGGTCATGTGCATCCAATCAGCCTCCAGGCACAGGAACCAGCTCTTTGGGCCTACCACTGAAAACAGTCAAAAGTCCTTTGTGGCCCCAAATGCTGACTGCTTTACTTGACTATACAAGGGAATTTAGAAAAAGAAAAATGAACTGCGATAACAGATGAGTGGTGTGAGGCAAACATCGGCTCTCTGTATGCTCATCTGCTTGCTTAGGTTTGCAGCCTCATCATGGAATGACACCCAACTATTTTTTAAAAAATATAATTTAGATACCCCTTTGTATCATAGAGTTTTTATGTTAGCCCATCCAAATGCATTCCCCTCATTTGTAC